AAATTGATTTTGGGGTATGACCCCAGCAAGTGTATCAAGAACGAGGTGTTCCGTGTATCAGGATCAATGGTTTTGCTTATTATTATTATTATTATTATTATTATTATTATTATTATTATTATTATGAACGAAAAGCTACTGTAAGAAAACATGCTTATTAAAGCAACGTTATTATTCCTTTATCAACTAATTTATTGGAAAAGATCAATTGTCATGATAAGATGCAGGATTTGATATTTTATAAAGCCAAACGATGTAACCCGCTTCCTCTGCCAACATTCTATGGAACTTTGATAGAAGACAAAGTTAATAGATCAAGCTAATTCAAAATTTTGTATTTTGTTACTCTGTAGCAATCACTTTAAAAACTTCATATTCTTGGATAGTGAAACTCCCAGGTATCCCTATATCGGGATAATAACTAGAGCTTGATGACCAATTAGTACCGTTTGCAGATAAGTCTGATGTTCCGCCAAAACATGGACCATATGAAGTATGACAATACACGGTGTATGTGCTGCGGAATTGAGGTCATCAATATCTTTGATATGAAACAAAAAACTTCTGTCGGTGTTTCCGTATGTTCCGCTGCTGGAAATCCAATCCAAAGGATTGTAACCTCCGATGATTGCGTTACCCGAGCTAGGCTTACAGACAATCAGCGTCGGCCCCTTGTTATCACAGAGATTATGGAATTTGGGATTATGGAAGCCATCTCTTGTACCTCGAAGCAATAATTCGTATCGAAATCTCTTATGCGCAAAATATTTGTTTGTGTCGATCCACAAGGAAATTAGGTCAATCTGCAAATCTTTCATGATGAGAGAGTCGATTTTTATACTGTGATCTTTCGTGCCTGTTCGAGGCTTCCATTGAGACGTATTCTTTTCTGGAACCATATGATAGCGAATGATATCGTCCCTAACATCTTTAGGTAACAATTTTTTGTACGGCATGACGATATCATGAAATTCTTGTGGTTGAAAATTATGATATCTAATATGACGAAGACATTGATGCAACGTCTTTTCTAGGTTTACGAAATCATCCTTCGTCCAGCTGCTAATATCGCTCGTCGAAGTTAACTCAACATTTTGTGCTATGCCCCACTCTAGCAGCCTGCGCCAGATGAATACTTCTGGTAAGTCCAAGTCATCTCTTTGAAGAAAGTGTATTAAGATGGATTCTGGTATTTCACAAAACTCATCACAGTTAAACAGAATACTGGGCAAATATTACGTAAAGGAATAAAAGCTTCGTGGAGCCAGATTTTCCCAAGAATTTTAACCGGATTATCGCTCAAGAATTCATCCTTCTTCTCTATAATGTACTGCTGTACATCATTCAATAGCTCCAATAATTCCAACTCGTCTGTAGCCATCAATACATCAAAAACAACTGATGCACGTTGAGAGGCAAAATCGACCACGCCACCGTACAAATATCTGGATAAATTAATTGTTTAACTTAAGCAATTATTGCAAAACAGTTACCCAATTTGCAGATTATATTATTCTAAAAAAGAAAATATTTCGCTGACGGATAATTTCCCGATTATTATAAACCAGTCTCGGTTTCCTTATTATTGTGCGACGACAAACCTCAGAATGAAATCCATAGTGGTAGGAGTCACATTTGGTTTGTTGAGAATATACTTGTTATCTTCTTTCTTTACCCATTCTTCACCGAAAGCTGCAGCAAAGTAAGTCGAACGTGCACATAGAATGAGCGAATGTGCTTTGAACTCTTTTGTATGTCCTTCCTCACCCACGCAGAGAAGGACGTCACAATTCTTTTCGCTATTCAGCAAACATAGCAAATCTCTGCAGACTACAGACATGATTAAGTGAAAGATATACTAATACATACCATCATTTAACGAACATTCACGTGAATACAAACTATTGTGTGTGACAAATAACCGCTTTAGGGTATCAATGATGTTCTAGAACCATCACAATAATGTTAATATTATGCCAACGCAAACTATTTGAGTTAAAGAATGTTTCAGTCAAATAAAAAAAAATAATAAACCGTTGAATTTGAAATGAGTAGAAGTGTTAAACCAAGAATCGGACTAATTATCTTAAACAACCAAACATCACTATTATTTTGAGGATAACATGGTTGGGTAGCTTTGCAACATTGGTTTTATCCTCGTAAAGCTTAATTCGATAGTTATTTGTCATTTATTTACGTTTGTGTGCTCTTATCACAAACAGAATATTGTTGAATGAATGAGCAAATCTCTGGTTTCGCCATAATTTTATTACAAGTTTAACTAAGTAAATTTGTTACCTGAATATGAATTACAACCGTGCGACTTCTCTAGTAATAACGAACTCTGGTTATAACGAACGAAAATTCTTCAGCCGGCAGTTAAGAGTCCAAGAAATCTTATTAGTTAATATACTCTGTTAATAAAGTTTGGCGCTTTAACTTTACGCATGTGTCTCATATGGTAAATTCTCCTTGTTATAAAAGTAACTGCCTTTAATTCGACTCTCGATAATTCGACTTTCCAGAATTCGATCGCCTGGAGCAATGACCCGATTTTTTCATATGAAATTTTTTCCGTTAATTCGACCATTACATATAGATTTTCGATAATTTGTAATTCGACCGCCCCAAAAATTTTCTATTAAGCCAGCATGTATAAATAGTATTATAACTACGCCCGT